GGGGGCATGATCCTCTCTGCTGGAAATAAACTGCAGCTCTCAGTAGAATCATTGTTTTTCCCCAAAGATCCAAACTGGATCTCAGGCAGGAAGCAATGATGGCGGCTCGGTCTGCAGGACCAACGGCAGGCGATGATGTCAGCGTCCTCATTGCTCTGCCCGTTAGCTTTCCTTCATCCTGGTTCCTGTTCAACAGACCCTCCAGATCACGCTGCTTCAAAGCCGTGTCCTTCAGACCTTAGACGCCAAAGAGGAGGAAGAAGGAAGACGACTTTAGTCAAAATCTGTGATTTTATTGAAATCTGGTTTTTGTCTTCAGGTCTCTGTTCTATCTTAAATAAACCCTTCTTGCTTGGATGTCACAGCTACGTCCTCGCTGTGTGACGGAGGTGACAAGCATCTAAACAGAGCCTGATGGGCGTCTTGACGCCCTGCAGGGACGACACTCTGACACTTTCCTCTGACATCTGACACATCAGCTTCACGCAGCGCTGACGTCGCGCTCTGCTTCCCCTCTGACACGCACACGCTCTGCATGCAGAAACCTCCCCGCGGCTGTGCTCCTCAGCACGCGCACTCAGGCTTCATTCCACATTTATTTAGAGCAGATTTGCGTGCGTGCTCAGATGAACACGGATCTGTAGGCAGACCCAGATTCATGCAGACAGTCGGAGGCTGTGAAGAGAGACGCTCTGTCCATCTGTTTGAACCTGCCTCTGCTGTACAGCTACACTAGCATGAATAATTTAGTGGTTAATAAACATCCTCTTTAACCACTGAAGCTGCAGGTGTTTTATTTAGGCTTTCACTCGCCGTCTGGGGAGCGCTGCTCTGCTCTAAGGGCCCCATGATCAACCTCTGACTGCCTGGATCTGGAGAAGGGTGGAAATCAGGACATTTGTTTCATAAAAAGCAAAGAAACCCAAAATGTTTACAGGCTAAAACATCTGAATGTCAATTATTTCCGTTAACTTCAGGAATCCTTTCATGCAGATTTAGTTGGAACTGAAAAATTTCATCACTCTTCATCATCAGCATCAATTTTTCCCTTTTTTCTCCTTTTGCTGCACGGCTGTTTTTTAGCTAAGCTAACACGATGCTGAGAGTCTTATGGATTTAAGCTAGCGCTAGCCTAGGCTAGCTACTCCTTACTACCAGAAACAAAACCGACAACTGCTCAGTAGAGAAGTGCAGCAGAAGACGCTATGTTTTAATTCTGGACAGTTAGAGTTACTGAGATCCAGAAATATCACAGAAAAAAGAATTTAATTCAGACGCAGAGCAACAACGCTGCTCAGCAGTCAGAGCAGGAAGTGAACACGATACGTCTCACCAACAGCAGCAGCACCCTCTAGTGGCAGGAGGCCTGAAAGGAATTTCAGCTTTCTGTCGGGTTCTGTCCTGTTGACCAATCAGGGAAGGCGACGGAGCGCAGCAGAGACGAAGCTTTTTTAATCAGAATAGAGCTCAGTGCTAAAGGATGAAGTGAAGAAGCTTTTTTGGAGATAAACAGTGTTAGCTTTGTAGCAACCGCTGCCTCTCCCTGCTCTGGTGCTCTGATCTCTTGCTGTTTACTGCGCTAACAATCCGCGCTAATGGTCCATGCTAACAATCCATGCTAATGGTCCATGCTAACAATCCACACTAATAGTCCCTCCCCATTCTGCCTGGCCTGAAGGGTTTCAGTTTGTTCCCTGTTGTTCATACGAATTTAACTCTACCCTCAAAAGTCCTTTTATGGCAGGAATCTGCTGCAGCGTGACGGCCATTCGAAATAGCCAAAGTAAGAAGCGGGGATGTCTGGTACCTGCATCTGTGGCAGGTCAGGTTATTCAGTGGCAGGCTGTCTGGCAGCCGCTTTGCGGCCGTGGCAGGTCAGGGGAATCAGGGGCAGGCCCTCTGCTGTCTCTCAAGATATTTGGACAACTTTTTGTCACCCTGGTTTCAAATTTGATCTCATCATCCTAAGAACAAAGCCGAGACTTTTCCTGCTTCTTCTTCCTGTCCAGGTGATAAACCCCCGGCGGACCGGACCGTGGTTCGGGAGGAATACAGGCTCCTGTCCCAGAAGCTCTTTGCAGCCGTGTCGGTCTTCGCTGGGCTCGGCATCCTGCTCGGTATCGTTTGTCTGACCTTCAACATCTACAACGGCAATGTGCGGTGAGTCCTCCACACACCGGGGGCAGCATCCTGTGGGCCAGAGAGCCTGGAGCCCAACCTGACTTCTTCTTCTTCTTCTTCTAAAGAAGAACTTTCTGTTCACAGGAGGTTTCTCTCCTGCATAAATTCAGAGAAAGATTATAAATTTTTATTATTTAAATTTTTTTTCCTGTATTCCGGTAGACATGAATTACAACAAAATGAAACAGCGCCCCCATCTGGGCGTTCAGAAATGTTTAATTCTTATTAAAACAAAGGATGGAAGCAGGAGTTTTAAACTCTGACTGATTGTGACCCAGTTTAACTGCCGGCAAAAATAACACATTTTAAATAAACAAGGTTCATTTTAATGAGGGACAATTAATAGAAAATAGAAGAAGAAAATATATCAGCTGAACTATTAGAGCAGAAAGTCTGAATCAGTGGGGCTGCTGGAGTTTTCCTCAAGGGGGGGCTATAGATAGACGTTTACCAAAAACCAATTACGGTAAACATATATGTATACACAAGTTATCACACCAACATATAAGAATATAAATGCCAACTACAAAAAACATTTTAAAAACACTTAATAGAAACATAATTTGATGTAAAGGTTTAGTTTTTGTACATAAATCTTTGTTTTGTACGATCCAATATGGCGCCACAAACCTAAAAATATAATGGACCAGTTTAATAAATACTTAATCAAAGTTTTCTATCTAAGGAAAACCAGCTGATTGCATCGACTCATTGACTCTTCAGCAATCCCTCACACTAAGCATGCTGGTAGCGACAGTGGAGAGGAAAAACTCCCTTTGAACAGGAAGAAACCTCCAGCAGAACCAGGCTCAGTGTGAGCGGCCATCTGCTG